TCTATGTCCCAAAAAAGAACCGTTCACTGCTTACTCTATCGACGTCATCACACATCTTGAAACCTCTAGCAGCAAGTTTTTCTCCAAGCTGCTTCCGAGTGTGTTCGGCATGTAGTTCGAGGCACTCAGAGTGAGCATAATGGTCACATGGAGTAGCCGATACACCAGCCGAAGTCAATGGGCATAGGCAAATCGGACAGGCTAACGAAGAGGAATGCTGGTGCTCCAATATGAAGTCGGCACAGTGCTAAACTTCACTCAATTCGAGGCAGTAGTAAGATTATTGGATAAGAAAAAATCTTCAAATGAAATGATATATTTGATAGTTCCTCTAATATACTACCTGGAAAACACTATATTCAACAATAAATCCCACTTGTAATATATCGAACATAACAGGAGTTCCAATAAGATCACTAAGTCGTTGGGACACTTCTTCAATGAGCTGATGATGTGACTGTTCAGAAATTCCTCTTGGATTGAAAAGTCGCACCTTTGGTGACACGTCCGGATACTGTAAAGGTTAGTATATGACGTTAACAAACCTAGACCGGGAATGAAAAGACAGCAAACCTGCGGTCCCAATTCGAACTCCACGACGATCGACGCAGATGAAACACCCTCCTCATCATTCGGTCGGACCTTTTTGCGTACCGTCGTGAGTGATCGGTCATGGCTATAAAGACATGTAACATTAGGTTATTGCGGTCTTCAAAGTCGGTTTCCTCCTAAGGAATCTTTTGAAATAGATTTGTAAGGATGGCACACTTTAAGCATTGGAGTGGAGGGGGTCTTTTTCGCTAGGACGAAAAGCGACTTTTCTGCTTTTCTTGAAGTGAAGCATTTTCCGCTGTGGGAACCCCAGACTCACCGCTCATCAGCAGTGGACCTGAATTTTTCGCAGAAAAAGTTTCGCGCAGCGAAAACCGAGATAGTCGCTTTCTGTCCTGGTGGATCACACCCTAGGAGGGGCCGTACACATTATCCTGCACAATCCTTCATTAGCCGGACCATAATTGGCTTAGAATTAGAGGAAGACAGGAAACATCCGATTTCGTTTACGTTAGTTTAGTGCGCTGTAAAAACAGGAACCTTCCGATATGGTGTGACGGTGAAAACCGGAAAAGGTACCAATTCCGTTGAAGGACGTAAAGAACTTTCCCTCGAAACTCTCAATACTCATTTTATTTAGTCCATTTGCAATTAATGTTCACCATCCTCTTGCTCACACCGCCATTATAGCTGCATCCACAAGCTAACATTCTTTCATACAGGACCAAGAGCGTTTAGGCCCGCAGATTGATGCCGTGAGCGACGTGCTTTTTGCGATTTCTAGCGTGTCCGCTTAGAAATCGCAAAAAAAGTCAGGGACAGGCAAAGGTCAATGGCTTGTTTAACGGATCAGAAAGTACAGTAGCTACACACTTACAGTTCATATCTGACCATCTGATTAGGCGGGTCTACGGTCTACGGACCGCCGCACTTGATAGAAGTCGCACGGATAAAAGCTTCCAACATACTTCGATGGGAAACAGCAAGACAAACCAGAAGCAGCTTATCCACGCGTCCTATCAAGTGTGGCGGCCGCCATGTCATTTCCGGTGCGCCATTTCGCACTTCCACCACTTCTCCCCCTCCCCCTTCCCCCGTTAACACTATTTTATTCACTGCGAATCTAATGTTTGAAAGAAAGTCTTTGAAAACTTGTGTCTATTGTTAGTATTATCGTTCAGACAAGCGTTTTTGCCAGTTCGACTCATGAACAAAGCTGATTTCTCGGAAACTTCCTTTGCGAACGAAATTAGGAAGAACTATCGACCTACTTGGAATTAACCGAGATCTCATCGCCAAAAATTGATCGCAGTGCTTCAATTTCGGCCTCTGCTTCCATCTGCAGTAGAAGTGTCTCGTCAAATATCAGAGAAAAATCTTTATAGACAACTACGTGAAGAGAACAAAACCTTCATACCTCAGCAGAATACACCAATAACGACACATTTATTAACACTCTTATCAATACATGAAGTAGCATAACAACAATACAGAGGTGCTATAAACAGAACGAAGAAGGAAGGAAGGAGCGGCGTCACTTCCGGAATGAGAATAGATAGCAAAATAACGGAACTGAAACAAGAGAAAAAACTTACGTCTGATGACGAGGTCCGCCTCGTACCCATTTTCTTCCAATGTCCACATCGTCGCCAGATAAACGCCGGAGCACACCGTCGTTCCTTCGTTAAATGAAAAATAAACATACCTTCTGCTTCCTCAGATGCACCGATAGAAACCTGACTGCGGCCGCCAACAAATCAGTCAATCCGGCTGTTGCAATACAAAACTCGTACAAAAACACCTACCTTTTCTCCATGAATCCACGAGCAATCCAAAGTCGACCAATATTCGACAAATGAAAAAAAATGAAAAAATAAATTAAAAAGAGGCAGAAGGATTGTAGGATTCTTGTGAGTTTCGGGAGAAAAAATGAAAATTTTAGAAGCGAATACAATGGAAGAAAAACGGAGAGTGAATTCGTAACGGAGAGAGACAATCTTTGATCACTTCAACCCAAATCTCTCCATACGAGCCCTCTTCTTTTGCTCTAATTCATCCTAAAAAAAAGAAACTATAATAGTAGTAAAATGAAGGTACCGCCATTGTTAGGCAAGAACAGTTCAGTCACTTACATCGACAACTGCGCCGGTTTTCAATCCAACAGGCTTGACAGGCTCTTTGACAGAATCCTAAATAAGCATTTTCAGAGAAAATATTCACAGCACGTGCTAATCTTCAACAATGTACAGATAAAAAAAATGAGAAATCGGAAATGTGTTTTAAAAACGATGACGTAACCGAACCATAGTTTGGGAAAAATAATAGGCCAAAGACAAATGGAAGGTTTATAAGAGAAATCATGCCGCATACCTTGGATGTTATTGTTTTCCCTTGCTCATTCACTGGTAAACCGAATCTGAATACACGCAAACGTTAGAGCCGAATTACGTCGGGTATTGTAGTCTGTCACGGATAAAAGAATGCCGAACAGGAGTGAAATTCTAGCACATAAATTACCACACCTCTGCGCTCTGATCAAGAGCTTCTTCTTTGTTTCTTCATCAGTTATGGTTGAAAGTTTAGCTCCCGGTGATGTACGTCCAGTTAATCCAAACCTGAAAAACAAAAATGACTGGAGAACAAAAAATTAAACTGAGAACGAGTACCTCTCGGCTCTTTTGGCTTTCATTTCCTTTTCAGAACTCACAGTAGCGAGGCCAAATCTGAATTGTATCATGTGCATAACAGATCAACCAAGTGGAACGCATCCAAACAAATTTGTTATCATTTACTCACCGTTCGGCTCTTTTCGCCTTTGCAAGTGGATCTGTCACACCAACTGGCAGACCAAACCGTTGAGCGCGTTTGAGTTTTGCATCTAGCGCGAGTGGATCATGAGGTGGTGTTATTGGGGCAGGTTTCGGCTGGAAAACGACAACTCTTTTCGAGCATTAGCGCCACTGATCGCAGCGAGAAATGAAAGTTATTATGTAAAAAATAAAAACAAAAAATTGATTGTCTTGTCTTAAAAACAACAGTGACTTTGTAGTCCTGTTGAACGACAAAATGAACAAATAAGAACAGAGAAAGCTCTTTACACCTTTTCTTTCTTATCAGAGGATGGTGTTGCGGGTTTTGCTTCCTCGGTTCCCTTGGCAGGTTCGGCTACTTCATCAATCAGTTTTTCGGGTAGTACATCATTAAGGACGTCATCGTTCAACAGGTCCTCTACAAAAGATTTCATACGTAGGACTGTGCAGTAATTATTCCATACTTACACCAATCAAAGATCCGATACTGATAATATCGCATATTTTTGGCCTACATAGGCGCATTGAGTATAAGGAATTATTACCGTCTGGTGTAGATAGAGGATCGCCATAGCCGCCATCTTCACTGTGATTGAGGATCGCATCTTCTTCAGCCTGAAGAGCAATGATTTTCATTAAACTGAATCGATTTCAAAATATACATATTTGCCATTTTGCTTGTTTGCATGAACTTGATTGTCATTGAGAAAAATACGATGGAATCTAACCGTTTTTAGTCAAATGAACGCAGATAGATTGGTCATTTCTCTAGCACGATAGCAATAAACCACATAATAAATCGGTGCTAACTTAGTTGGGGGGGGGGGACCACGCGGCGGCGCGGCAGTCTGCTCGCCTGGCATGTTCGGAAATCCGTGGGCCAGGGGGAGTGTAGGCAGTCACTTGACATGCGTGAAAAGCTGGAATGTTCGAGTTTACACTGTCTCGCTCGAGAGAGCCCAGGTGAGCAGACTGCCGCGCCGCCGCGTGGCCCCCCCCCCAACTAAGTTAGCACCAATAAATCTCCGGACCCCTCTGTCGTCAAAAAAGAAAACAAAAAAGAAAAAGACGCATTAAGGAATTCGAAAAGTGAGTCGAAATAGAGCCGAGATCAGGTAGTTATGAGCACCAGCTTACCGAGAGAAAACTCAGTAGAACAAAGCTTGCCTATTCGCGCCTTTCTAACTTTCCCTCACTCTACAACACCGCCTCCCACCCCCCAGTCACTAGCTAAACCACCATCAAAGCTTGTGATACCATATTCTCAGGTCAGCTCTGTACTATGTATGCGAAAGATTTTGAGAATCACCCAAAATGGTTCACTACACATAATTTAA